CAGCAGGAGGAGCAGAGTGTCACCAAGCATTTCACAACCACCACAAAGATTCAGTTCAAGAAACGGACAAAGGTTCAGGGAGGTTATTTTCCAGTTTCACACCCAGAACTGGTTTGCCTAGACCAGAATAAGCTCGGGGTAGTTACTTAAACACCGGGCTCCATTATTACCAATAAAGTGCCTGGTGATCCTGCCCCTCCCGAATGAGCCAGGCAGAAAACTCGCACCAAAGTTCAGGCTGGGGAATCATTTAAGAGGATAGTGCCTTTTAACAATAACATCAGAGACTGGGGGCTGTACGTTAGCTGGAACAGGCAAGAGAGAGTCAAGCTGTCATCACCAGCTTGTAAATGACTCAGAAGCTCTTGAGAACTTCTCCAGAACACTAAAAATCCACTCAGATGATGTGCAGAAGCCAGATCTCAGCTGCATTCACTGTTGCCTGTACCCTTAGGTTGGCCACAGTGGGTTAGAGCAAGGGTGTTTCTGTTCCTGTGTTCCATTGCCAACAGTCTCACTGTGGAGCAAAAGCAAAACCAGGGCAAGCAGTCACAGTGCTTCCCCCATCATACTTCCAGTTTTCAGCTACTTCTATCAGCTCCACAAACACTCCAAGATTAAATCTGTCCAATTCAGCAGCCTCCAGCAGTGCTCTCTCTTTCAAGTGTTCTCTAGTCTCCTCCTGAACATATATAAACCTCTTAATTCAACAGGTCTGTTCCCTGTAGCAGTGAGGGTCTTGCAATGTGTGGCTTTTTTGTTTAATGTCACCCACTGGGGTCACTAAATATATATTTCACCATTCACTAGAAGAAACATGCTTTTAATCCTCATTATTGCAGAGGACATCTGAAGACTGCCACATGGACATAGCCTAAAGGCTCCTACGACCCCTGAGAGCAGCACATAATGAAAGGGATGGATGATAAAGCAGCATATAAGCTTCCTGCAGACCTTTAGAGCCAGTCTCAGGGGGTTGACAATAACTTGGGCTCCAGAGCAGCCACAGAGCTTCACATTTTAACAGTGATACAGCACAACTGCAGGAAGACGGGACAGTTCTGTCTCCAGTCCAAAACCTGGGCCAAGATTATTTTGCCTGTTAACATCTGGGAGGAAAACCTGACATTCCAAAACCATCTTCCTTAACACTCATTTCTTCAGGCATCCTCAAAAGGTCCATGAGCAAAAATGCCATACAGCTTCCTTATGTGCTGGGTGGACACACTCAGTGGCCAGAGGCTCCTTCATTTGGCCTCCTGCACCTGCACCTTTGTGCCCTTCCCCTCTCCTCCTTGGTGGCAGCCAAGCTACCACCTTCCTGCCCAGCCAGGCCCATTCCTCCTGCCTGGACCCAATTCCAGCATCACACTGCAGGGCCTTGGGGTTTGGGCTTGGATCTTTTTGTTTGGATCTGAACCAAAATCGAGGTCAGCATTCTGAAGTTCTCAGGTGCTGTAGGGAGGAGGGCCCAGTTCACAGGGTCTGATTTAACCCTTCTTATTGTTTGTTATTTCTCCAGTAAAATAAATCTTCTTCAGCTCTGAGTTGATGAACTAATTATCCTCCATCTCTTTTCCTGCTGGACCTTTGATTTCAGAAAGCTTTTGGTATCAAAGACAATGCCTGAGACTTTCAGGAGAAGGGAAACACTTTTCCCATCCACGTGCAGCATGAACATTGCAGCCTGACCCACACACGAAGCAGTGAGCTTCCCAGTGTCTGTTACTGCAGCCTGGCACTCTGAGAGTGCCAACACGGGGTGTAGAAGGGACCAAGCCCTTCCTACACCCACAGCTATCATGGCATGTGAGCAAGGAGGGGTATGTCTGCCTTGCAGAATATCCCCAGCAGCATTTCTGGCATGTTTTCCACTTCTCCCTGATAAGCCCTCCCAGGTTTTCCTGCTCCACCGCAGCCATCCCAGCATCTGTCAAAATAGCATTAGGGGGAAGGTTTGCAAGGCAGCACTGGTGTATTAGTGACTGGGATGCTCCAGAGAGGTGCCATGGATTGGGAAACACAGCACTGCTGGTGGCACAGGGAGCACAGTGACCCAGGGACACTTCCTAGGGACGCTGCACGCATGCCATGCCAGGCCCTGGGACCAGCAAGGGAGAAGGGAGTTGCAGTCTCCTGGTGCTGGTCCACAGAGATGAAGAGACTGAATTGCTCAACACTACATTGTAGTTTGATCTAATCTTGTGAAATCACGATGTACTGGGGATGATGCATTCCTTTTTCCTCCTACAACAAAGCATGTAGGAATTCAGGCAGCTGCCAGCATGCCACCTCCAGTCCTGGTGATGCGGGCTTTAGTTCCTGTGGAAAGGATTTTGAGCCTGGAATGGAGACGCAGGAGAACTACCACAGCTGTGAGATATTTACTAGAAGACCCTAAAATGCGATGGGAAACAACTAGGAGAGACAGGGGACAGGAGGACCACTTCTGCCACATCTGTCTTCAAACCAGGGACACCCAAGGGCTGCTCCAGAGGAGCCGAAAGCTCAGCACTGCTACTCGGGAAGGACAGAAGTGCTTGGTGTGGGGTTTGGTGCCACTGCACACCTCCAGCACCTCCAAGGCTCAGAGGCTGGCATATCCCAGTGGAAGATTAAAGACCTATTCAGCTCACACCACAGAGCCCAAGCCCATGTGCCCACTGCCCTGGTCATCATCACAGATCCCTTCCTTCCCCACCACGGCTGGGCTGGGAGGGGGTATGAGGAGGATTACCCATACAGATATCCCCAAACCGCCCTGCCCGGGCATCAACATACAATAAACTGGGTATGGCTGGCAAAGTCCCAGCCAGGCCAGAGACACCCCAGCCTTCCTAGGCTTCGTCCAAAACATGGAAGAAGCAGGCAAAAAGCGGAAAGAACACACTGCATTGCTTTGGAGACAGCCAGCTCCAGATTAGCTTGTTTTCTATCTGGTTTTCTCGGTCCAGGTGCAGGGAATCAGAGCCTGGGGAAGAGAAATCCACTTGCAAAGGGGAAGTTTTCTAATCAGCCTTCCCCAGAAGCAAACCCAGCCTCAACAGGCAGTGGTATGGAGACACCCCACCATCCAGGCTGCTGCTCACAACATTGAGGCTGTGGCCAAATGAGAGGTAAGTGGATTGCGTCCTGCCTCCAGCCCCTGAGCAATTAAGAGATTAATGCAGACCTTTAAAATGCAGTGATGTGTAGATTTTTAGAGGATTTCACTTTCCAACCTCAAAGGCCTGGGGAGAAGGGAAACAACCCCTTTTTCTCTACAAGTATCAAAAACCCAGCTTGCGTTTGGCAACACTCACTCCACCGACTTCAAGGAGGCTAAAGAAGAATTCCCTCTCCATTTATGAATAGGTAAACTGAGGCACAGCTCTTAAGTGAGTTTATCCAAGTTAGGGAAAACCCCTGTGGCAGAGGGATATATAGAAACCCCACCTTTAACACTGCTTTATCCCGACCATTTGGCAGCACAGATGTCAGTTGGAGGAGCTGGCACTCAGTGGCCATTAATGCTTTTCCAACCCCGGTTTGCACAGATCCATTATGGGCACCTTACCATTCGACCTGTGATCCTGCATTGCCAGGTAGGAATCGTACACGTCCTTCCTCAGGAAGTTGAGGAAGCCGACCTTCCTGGCAAACCTGCACACGAAAGCCTGCTCGTAGAGGCAGTTGAGGAGAAAGCAGCCCCGGATGTGGTCCTCCTCCGTGCCCGGGTCCTGCTCCACAAGCGCCAGGTTACAAGCAGGTTCCTTACAGCAGGCTCTTATGCAGTCCCTCCTCCGACGGACTACGGGGGACGACAAGAAGGTGGCTCCATTCTGGACAGACGCATCTTGATCGCGTTTTCTAAGGCCCTCCAGGCACGTTCCACCGAAGGGTTTTCCCTCCTGCCCTGCTCCATAGTCCACCGCCAGCACCAAGACGACCCAGAGCACGAACTGTGGACCTGGGCTCCCTCTGGCCATCGTGGCGCCCCGATCCTCACCACCTTGAGACCTTAATCCTTTGCTGAAAGAAGGAAGAAGACAGACGAAGCTAAGCGGGACGGTGTCCAGAATCGAGGCTAATGTGTCCCCCCCACCCTGCAACTCATCCCCAGGTATACGCTCTCAGCCCCCTACCTGGGCTCCGATGCTGGGAGCGGGGTGTCCCCCTCGTCCCCCCTGTGCCTTCACCCCTCAGGTGTGCTCTCAGCTGCGTCCAGCGGAGACAAAGGCCCGGAGAGTGCAGGAAGTGAAAACCAACTCCCTGGGAGAGGGGGAAAAAACTCAAGTCACTCCCCTGCATGCTGAGTTGCGTAAGAGGAAGGGGAGGAGAGCCAGGCTGAAACCTCCGTCCACTGCTCCGAAAGTTTCCTCCCATGGGAGCCGCTCTCACGCAGGTGTAAGGCACCCGCTCGGGATGAGCATCCCACCAGCCGCATTCTAGCTGCACCCCCGTGCTCAGGATGCACCGAAAGCTGCGGAGCACACGGTCTGAGTCCTGCGGGCAGTAGCACTCACATTCCAGCTGCGTGGCACAGAGCACCATTAGCCCCAGTTTCACTAACCCAGATGAGTCAACCTCGCAGCCGCATCTCCCGCTGCTGTTGCTGCTGCGAGAGGTTTTGTGCTCATTGAAATCATATATTCTCTGCTCTTCAGATACAATATTCCTTTTGAGTGAAAGCACTTGGTAGCATGCCCTGGGGCTGTCCTGCCGCCGCAGCAGTGAAAACTTAGCAGCCACCCCCAGCTGATGAACAACGTTTTACTTCTCCATCTCATATAAATCAGTTGTGGTCCATGGGTAGTGTCCCTGCCTCACAGGACAGTGCTGTTAGGGCACACAAAGGCTGCCTGCTATAACTTCCATGTATTTTCTCCCTTCCTGCTTCTACTTGCAGGTTCATCATCAAATTAATGGTTCAACAGATACAACAGTGTTGTCCACCCCCCTCTGTCTTAAATAGTCTTAAAGCCTCTGGGTAAACTGTTCTTATCCCTTTGTCATAGTCCTTAGGAAAGCAGGGAGTGCTTGCAATATGCTTGGACATTATTTATAATGAACTATTGCATCACTTAAAGCAACAGCAGCAAATGTGAGGTGGTTTTGTGTGGTGTGTCTTTGAAAAGAGATGGTGAGCAGCAGCTATGTGTCAAACAGCAGCTGACTTGGCTCTTTTGGGGACCATTCTGGTGTCCAGCATTTCAGTTCTTGCTGCCGCCTTCTATACCTCTGATCCAGCCTTGTGTATCCTCATGGGATTTATTGAGAGTCCTTAGAGACATGTTTCCTCCTCCTGGCTGTCACAAACACTGTGGGAACATAATGTTGTGGGAATATTATTTTTCAATACCTCTCATGATTTTCTATGGCCTGACATTTGTGTATAGTAGTGATAGTCTGGAAAAGAGAATTGCTTGGTAGGGTATAAAACTAATACAGGCAAAGCCTAAACCATGAAAATAGATGGTAGGGCAGTAGGAAACATGGATGTCTGCAGAGCAGAGCCATGCCTGTTTTCCTTATTGGCTGCATGAATCTTGGTCAGAAGAAACAGGAGAATTTCTCACGCCTCATTCAGACTCCATCTCTGTAGCAGATCTTTGGGACCTGCCTGCAGACTGCCCTGCACAGCTTCTAGATACATGAAGGTTGTCTCCCTCCTTCATTCTGCGCTGCCTGAGGCACTCTGCTGGGGGCTCTCTCTTGTACTGAACATGGAAGAGACTTTTTCCAGGATAAATATTTCAAGCCTTTGGTCTGGAGCCAAGTGAGGCTCGATGCCATTCCCCAGCACAGGAGCATGCTGCTCAGGGAGCAGCTGGCCTCACCCCCCTTTGCAAACCAGCAGCCGTGCTTGGATATGCTCACAGACAGTCTGGCTTGGTATTTTTGCCCAACTGGCAGTGACCCAGTTTGCCTCTGCAGTTGTGTTGTGTTGCAAAACCTCTGTCAAGGGATTCCTGCAAACCTGCAGGACGTGATGTCTCTTCTGCTTGTGCCAGATAACTCCTATAATGCAGAGCTGGGATGACTCCTTGATCGGCATCTCTAGCCCTTGCTTTGGTTTGTGTATGGAAGGGATAAGCCCCTTCATAACCTGAAGAAGCCTGTCCTTCAGAGCTCTCAGCAGAAGGCTGTGCTGGGGTCCTACTGCGAGGTTTTCTGCTTCTCACCATAAATGTATTTACAGCTACTTTATATTTAGTTTCATTGTGCAGTTTTGTCCTTTCATTCCAAAATCCTTCTCTCCTTTTGTTGTCTTCAGCTGTATTTATTTCAGTGAAACTGTATCCTAACTCACTCTTCAGTTTGCTAGGGCAAGCAAGCCATGATCTTTCAATCACTTCTTCTATGGCAGAGTCTCCACTTCCCTTCTGTTATCCTAATGGCCTTTATCTTCTGCACATTTTCCAGTTTCATCTTTGTTGGTATTAATTATGTGTTACAGAATTGTATGCCACAGTCTAAAGAATGGATCACCATTACCATGTATTTATTCTTCTCTCTGCTGGAAATATATTGCTGAATACATCTTGGGTTCATATTAGTATTACAGGCTCACTGCAGAGCCATCTTACAATGTTATAAAACAGGACATGTTCTATGAATCTCAGTCTTGTTCTCTCTGCCATTTTCAGCTGATGAGTCCCAGCTAAATATTCTGGTGACAATTTCCTAAGTATGTGACTGTACTTTTTATATTCTCTGTATTCATAAATTGGTCCCATTTTTTTGTGCTTCACAGATGGGTCTGGCTTATTTGACCTTTAAAGATCACAGTTTTGGTCCTCCACTGTAAGAGGGATGCATCCCCACTCTGTGCCAGTAGCTCAGTGTCTGCATATCCCCAGTTTCTTCTGGAGAGGTTCAGTAATTAAAACTTTAATTAAGATTAATCCCAAGATCAAGGACTTCTACCAGGAACCTCTCTCTGCTGCAGCAGCTTTCTTTCCAACTCAGTAACTCACTCTTTGTCCTCTTAACCTAGAAATCCCATCACAGCCCTCGTCTTCTGCCAAACAAGTAATGTCTCAGGACTTCAGCTGAGCTGTGTGTTATTCATGTTAGCATGAAGGGAAAGTAGGGTGTGCGATGTCATGACTTGGGAGTGGTTTTAAGGGGTCGTGGAACAATGAGTCATTGTTAACATCTGTTCCTGAGAAGCTTTGAGAGCTGTGTCTGCTCTCAGCCTGGCAATAACTATTGAGGAGGTGACTCAGGGGCCTAAACTACACCACAGGTTAATATTTGACTAAGATTTTAAGAGCTCTCACACACAAATGGCTTGTAACCACTCGGTGCAGGAGCCTGGGTCACTGGCCTTCCTGTGTTTGCTATGGATACCCCAGCACCCATCTGCAGGTGGGTGCCCACCTTCCGTAAGGAATTGATCCCAACAGGCAGAATAGGAAAGACTTGTTCCAGGTCCCCTTTGCTGCGCAGTCCAGCTCCATGGCATGACCATCTGCAGTGGCTTCCTAATAGCTTGTCCCACAGGCTGCTGCAGACGAATCCATCCTGCTGTGCTTTACCTGGGAACTGCTCCATGTACTGCTTGGGAGACAGGTCTGCTTGCTTGTTTTGTTGTATTTGCCTCAGGGGAAAACCTCCTGGTGTGGTTTAGGGGTGAGACCAGATGCAAGTGATGGCACAAAGATGGGGCAGAGGAAGGAGACAGGGAGGGACCTTGTTGGGCCGTGACTAACACGGGTCCTGTGGAAGCAAGGGAAAGGATGACAAGCTGCTGAATCCTCCTGAGAGCCATTCCTACTGCATCGAGGGTGGCTTTGGGGAAGGGAGTTACAGTGAGGGTATACTGTTTCTTTGGTGAAATTCTTGTCTACAGTCCCCTGCATGGCACTGGCTTTTGTTTTAATGTTGCTGGTCAAGGTAAGTCCTTAAAGGCAGGAGCACTGCAAAAGGAAGAAGTGCAAATAGTGTTGAGACTGGTCACACTGAGAAAGTATCTGCATTTTTGTCTACATTAGGCTTTCACAGGGAGATAAATAGGGAAAACATGAAGCAAAGAACCTTTAATTTGCAAGAACTAGAATAAGCCTAACTTTTCCTATTGAAGTCCCCATAGGCAACCTGAGCTGTTCTTTACAGTGGAACAGGATGGGCCCAGAGTTTCCGACAGACTCTCCTTCTCCATCACTTCCTACAGTGACTGCACCCCAGGGAACCTTCAGACTTTCAACACCTTCATGCCAGCTGCCAGCACTTCCCATGAAAGGCTGCTCTCCCCTGGGTCTGTAGATGGTGTGAGCAGTACAGGCCCAGCAAGTGGAACTGCACCTTCCCAAAGTGATGGATCACAATAAACTTTTTTATTGAAAGCAGACTGGAAAACAAGCAAGATTATGCTTTACCTATTCAGCCACTGCTTCTGTTGTCTCCAACTCTACCATTCAAGGGCTTGCTGAACCTCTGTGTCCCATGAAAACACTGATAATGCTTTTAGTGCTGCAAGCCTCTTTCTGCAGGGAAACAGCAAAGCAACACAAGAGGGAAGGCAGCCAAACAACATGGACAGGTTTTCAAAGATCCCCAAATAATCTATTTGGCATCTAATCCATGCTGTCAGTTTCACATAAGTATTCAAGGGGAGGGGGGGCTTCCTTCTCAGTGGAGATGCTTATCCCCCTGCCTACAGGATGTTTGAGGATGGACATAGATAGGCAGAATTGCCTAAATAACAAGGGAGTCCAGGGTTTGCTAGTCTTTGAGCGCCAAAACAGTAAGTACAGGTATTTCTCACTTACCCTGCTCAGCTGCTGCTGAGCCATTAGCCTTCACACTTCACTTGCCTGCCAGTAACAGAGGC